AAGTAGCATCCATCAACCGCAGATTGTTTTTGAATGCAACTTTTAACATTCTTCGATGTTGTTTGGCACCAAGTTACCTGGAATCTAACGCCATGATCGTCCGTATTTAATGGAGAGGGCCGGTCCTAGGCGCGCTTTGGAGCAGGCCACCCATGTCCAGTTGGGGTCACTTGCCGTTAAGCTTCTCCCTTGCACTTCATTCTCATGATAGGGAAGGACTGAACGGTCGCGTATGGGCTGTTATCTCGAAAGTTTTAAGTGCTAGAAATATGCTCATTGGATAATAGTTTGCAGGGTGCTTTTAATTGCCTCCTTGATTTAATGCAATTTACGTATTTTTATTGTTTGCTCTCTCTCTTTAACGTGCATATACAACGTCATTATCGTGGTCTGCACAAACTTGTCATCATGCGTGTATTCTGCTAACTGCACTGTCCATAACTATTTGATAGGAATACATTTCTAGCCTAGGCTATTTCCTTGTTTTTCGGTGATTTAGTGGGCTCGTTTGTGGGATGTTGCGGATGAGTTTCAGCGAGACCGCCTGCTCTGAACAACCAATCACCGTACTGACCGCTTCTAAACTCATGCACGAGAATCGACGTCATCCATAGCAACGGCGCGTCACTCTTAGTTCACTCTTAGTGATTTATCCTTAGTATGAGTAGGTCTCAGCGGCTTGTGAATAACTTTTAAGAAAAACTCCTACGTAAATGTTTTAGCGAGAGTTAGGAGCACTCCTAGCGGTAAGATAAAATGCTTTGTGAATACGGCCCCTGATCTTTAAATGTGAGCCAGATAATATTGTCATCCCTTGGTGGTAGAATGAGTTACCAAACATCGCAAAATCCCTCCCTATCCGACCTCAACCTACCTCTTTCAAGAGTGCTTTAACACCTGATGACATCACTGACATTTTTTGATTAATCTGTCCTTTCCTCGCAGGTACGCTTCTAATGCCCACCCTCACCCTGCTGTCACCGCACACTGTGTTCTCTCCTGGCGAGGCTGTTCGCTTTGGCTGCAGTGTTCTGCTGGGTCACCACCTCAGTGACTTCCACCTGTACAAGCATGGAGTGTCCACACCGCTGGTCACTCAGAGGGCGGAGCAGGGCCCCACCCCGGTGGAGCTGACCCTGACCGACATAGAGACTTTCCACCAGGGCAGCTACAGTTGTCGGTACAGGATCAAGAGCGGCTTCCCCCCTCAGCTGCTCAGCTCTCCACCCAGCAACTCCATCAACATCACTGTGGGTGAGTCACGGCCGCATTGTCTCATCCATATTAACTCTGTTTCACCAGAGCTTATGCAGTGACAGCACTGGACACAGAAAGAAGATATTGCATCCACAGTATTTATTTACACATTTCTCTGCTCATCTGTGTTGTCATCATTTGTCATTTATTTGGTTCATTGTAGCTTTGTCGAATTAAATTATCATTCATTATACATTTTTTTTATTTATGCTGACAAAATCATAATCGGTATTGGCAGTTACATTCAGCATGTAATGGAAATGTCTAACCCAGATGTTCTCAATTTTGAGTTTGCTGTTAATATTGCTCTCACTGGTTACTTGTTAGAAAAATCTTGAGTATCTTGAGTATGACCCAACAAAAAAGGACATTTCATTTGAGAATATTTCGGGAAATGTTAAGGGTTGAAAAGAAAGTTGTAGTTTTATAGTTCAGTAGAGTTGGGACTTTTTTGTTAAGCATGATTAAACCTCTGTATCTTTCGAATAACCTTTTTAATTGTTCTTTTAATGGTTCACAGTGGAACTCCTGACTCCCCAACACTGGTTCAACACGTCTACTGAGGCCCCTGCTGGTTCAGTCATTAAAGGCCACAACTTCAACATCACCTGCTCCACCCACCAGCAGTACCCTGGAGGTTCCTTCCAGCTGCGTCTGATTCGCTCCAACGGCACCGTGCGCCAGACCCTCCCTGCCCTCAGCCCCTCCGTCACTTTCACCTTTCCTGACGCCCAGAGCTCCAACGAGGGCTACTACTACTGCCTGTATCGGGTCCAGATGGGTGGACGCACCTTCATCTCCAGAGAAAGCCAGCCCCTGCCTATAGCCATCAGAGGTGACACTGACATTTCATATAGAGACAGACCATAGATCAATAACATGTTAGAAGAATGACATATGTAAGTAAAGTAGTGTTGTGATTTGGATATACCTGCCTAAATATCTTGATACTGATGCTAAAAGCAAGCCACGTAAGAAACCTAAAACATCAGGAAAAGTAATAGAACATTACATAACAGGGCGTTAAAGTGGAAGAAGAGCCTTACAAAGCCAAACTGTCCCACACTGATTCAACTGATAAAAAAAGTTCTTATAAAAACACTGCCATTTTTAAAGTACAAATAGAACTAGGTATAATACCTTGTTTGATCGCATGGCATTGCGATACCATATGGAGTGGCGTTTTCTCCTGGAGGCCAAGGGAAGCCAGGCTTTCCCTGTTTTTTCGGATTGTAGTTATAATTTTAATAAATAAATAAAAACACTTCGTTCCGTTTAGTTTCGGAAATTCTTTGTTGTGTGTTGCTGCCGGCCCGGCCCGTCTCTCCCCCATTCTCATTGATTATTTTACAAAGAGTGAAGCAGCGCCCCTCTAGATGTTATGGTGAAACAGTAGATTGCACTGCAATCTACTGTTTCACCATAACATCTAGAGGGGCGCTGCTTCACTCTTTGTAAAATAATCAATGAGAATGGGGGAGAGACGGGCCGGGCCGGCAGCANCTCCTAACTCGCGCTAAACATTTACGTAGGAGTTTTTTCTTAAAAGTTATTCACAAAGCCGCTGAGACCTACTCATACTAAGGATAAATCCCTAAGAGTGAACTAAGAGTGACGCGCCGTTGCTATGGATTACGTCGATTCTCGTGCATGAGTTTAGAAGCGGCCCGTACGGTGATTGGTTGTTCAGAGCAGGCGGTCTCGGTGAAACTCATCCGCAACATCCCACAAACGAGCCCACTAAATCACCGAAAAACAAGGAAATAGCCTAGGCTAGAAATGTATTCCTATCAAATAGTTATGGGCAGTGCAGTTAGCAGAATACACGCATGATGACAAGTTTGTGCAGACCACGATAATGACGTTGTATATGCACGTTAAAGAGAGAGAGCAAACAATAAAAATACGTAAATTGCATTAAATCAAGGAGGCAATTAAAAGCACCCTGCAAACTATTATCCAATGAGCAT